GGTGCCAGGGACCTGCATCCTCGTGGAAGGGCGCGGGGGCTGCCCCTCTGCCCCAGCAGGGCACGGACACGCTCTCCCCTGCTGCGAGCCCGGGGCTTGGCTTGCGCCCGTCCCCTGGGGAGATGTTCTGCCGGGCGCTCACCTCTCCTCCCCACGGTGAAAGGGGTGTCCGCCTCGTAGTTGTTCCGGCAGACCGTGTCCACCTGAGCCCGTGTCTGCTCCAGTAACTCCGGCTGGCTGTTCCAGTACTCGGCATCAGGCTCACCCAGGGGGGTGTCGGCCACATAGAGCCCCACATCGCTGTCGAAGTGCGCGAACTGCTGCCGGTTGTGGATAAACCTCGTCACAAGCCTCACCTTCTCGGTGCCGTTGGTGAAGTAACAGTCGCCCTTAAACATCTCCTGGAAATACCCTGCTTGTGCAGGCACAGGGAGGTGAGGGCTCCTGCCATCACGCCCTGTCCTCAGCCCCCACCCAGGGCCCCAGCGAGCTGCCCCAGGGCTGGGGGAGGTGCAGAGGATGCCCAGGGACCCCCCCTCCTTCACGCCATCCCGCTCCCCGTTTTCCACCCATCTCCTCCCTTCACAGCATCCTCCTGCACCCAGCTCCACCCCAAGCTCTGTTTCGGGTCTGATCCCCTCCCAGCACCCAGCACCTCCCCACGCCGTGGGTCTGAGCTCACCTGAGGTCTCCTCGCCACCACCCGGGTGGGCTCCCAGCACCATCAGTGCCACCAGCACAGCCCCAGCTCCCAGCACGCGACCGGTCTCCATCACTGCTCACACCAGAGGCTGGAAAGGTGCTGGGACCCCCGAGTGAGCCGGACTCTGCCAGTTTGGGGTATCACTCTTGTCCCACCCAGTGGCGGGACTGGGAGTCCCAGCGAGGACCCGTGAGTGGTGGGGCTGCGCAGCATCACCCGTCACCAGGCAGAGCCAGGCCCCGCAGGGCTCCCTCTCGCACTTGTCCCACGCTGGCTGCAGCCTTGGCCCCGCTGCACCCCAGGGCAGGGAGCAGGAGCCGGGCCATGCCCACAGCGATGGGAGAGCGACGCCAGGGTCACAGGTGCCAGGGACCTGCATCCTCGTGGAAGGGCGCGGGGGCTGCCCCTCTGCCCCAGCAGGGCACGGACACGCTCTCCCCTGCTGCGAGCCCGGGGCTTGGCTTGCGCCCGTCCCCTGGGGAGATGTTCTGCCGGGCGCTCACCTCTCCTCCCCACGGTGAAAGGGGTGTCCGCCTCGTAGTTGTTCCGGCAGACCGTGTCCACCTCAGCCCGTTTCTGCTCCATGAACTCTGTCTGGCCATTCCAGTACTCGGCAGTAGCCTCACCCAGGGTGGTGTCGGCCACATAGAGCCCCACATCGCTGTCGAAGTGCACGAACTGCTGCCGGTTGTAGAAGTGCCTCTCCATAAGCCTCACCTTCTCGGTGCCGTTGAGGTACTGACACTCGCCCTTCAACATCTTCTGGAAAACCCCTGTTGCACAGGGAGGCAGGTCAGGGTGGCCGGCTCCCCCTCCCCAGCTGCAGGGCTGGGGGGGCAGGGAGGCAGCGGGGAGCCCCCTCCCCATCACCACTCTCCTCCCAGCCCCCCCACAGCCCCACAGCTGCACTGGGACTGGTGGTGTGGTCCTGACCCCCTGAGGACTCAGCATCTCGGCCTGGGAAGAGTCAGAGGGGACCCGAACCAGACCGTGACGCAGACGGCGGAGGGGCCTCCCCAGCTGCAGGGCTGGGGGGGCAGGGAGGCAGCGGGGAGCCCCCTCCCCATCACCACTCTCCTCCCAGCCCCCCCACAGCCCCACAGCTGCACTGGGACTGGTGGTGTGGTCCTGACCCCCTGAGGACTCAGCATCTCGGCCTGGGAAGAGTCAGAGGGGACCCGAACCAGACCGTGACGCAGACGGCGGAGGGGCAGGAGGGGACAGGAGGAGGGGAGGCTGCAGGGACAGAGCCCAAGGGAAGGGACGGGGCAGAGGCTGTTCCCGAGGGCCAGGAGGGGCAGGGGAGCGTCTCCCCCAGGCTGTTTGGGAACTGGGTCTCACCTGGAGCCCGCTGCTCCCAGGCCCTCCAGCTGACAACC